CGGGGGGGGAGTGAGCGAGCGGCTGGGTGGGGCTTGGTTGCCGGCTGGGGTTAAACCACGACAAGGAAAGACATCAGGAAACGCTGTACGAGCTCTCTCGGGTGTTTGCTCACATGGTGACCCCAGAACAGAGATCCTTTCTTCAAGGTGAGCCTCCCCTGGCTCCCACGGCTGCCTCTAGTCACTGCTTAATACCGGCTGCTTTCCAGCCCTCCCATTACCGCAGAGCAGAGCTCCCCGACAGACGCTGCCGAGACCTCCCTGAGCGGACACGAGAAGCATTTTCCTTCCCAGAAACCAGAGCAGTCTCCTGAACGGCGGGACTGCCCTGCTACGCCGGGGGAGAAGGCGTAAACTGTGTGTGGGTCAACCCGATTTGATTAGCCCAGGGAGGGAGAGGAGCGTCAGAGGGGAACTCCCGTGGCATTGCTAACTGGTTTCCTACCGTCAGCTGACGTAGGAGTCTGGACCACGCTCTGCTGCCCCGGCACCGGTGCTCTGGCGCTGCTGATCAGGAGATCAAACTTGGTGCTTCGACAGGTGTTGGTGCAAACTTTGTCGTGCTGGTAGAAGTCGATTTGCCCCGAGTCCATCATCTTCCTGTGCGGGGAGTGGGGAGAGAACCAGGCTCAGCTCAAATCTCAGCCTGGAGACAAAAGGGAGTGTTCCACGTAGGAATGCTACGGCCATGGGAAGGACGGGAAAAGGGAGACCCAGCGCCACTCTGCACGCAGAACATCTCCTGCAGGGCTTTCAAATGGCAAATACAAGCCATCCCCCAGCTTCACGTACAGGGCTCCAGTCCTGTTCCACCCCCGCCAAGTACCAGGTCCCCCAGGCGAGGCCACATCTGCACAGGATGAGGCATCCTGCCCCTCAGACCACGGGGCCAGGATCTCTGCCCCAGAGGTGCTGCAGGTTGCTGGTAACGTGAACCTCCAAGAGAACTCCCGGGGACTGCAAAGCAGACAAAACGCCTGCTCGGCATCCTGCAGCTGCAGTGACGAAGCCCTGAAGCTGGACACAGCGGTAGGCAAGTCAAATACCTCAGCATGATTCCTCCGAGGCGAATGGCTCTCTTCCAGTCCTTTAGGGTAGACTTCCCGGCCAGGTGAACAAAATGCTTCGGGCTGATCAGTTGGTCATTGAACTGACAACGAGATAAACAGAGGCTCAGCAGACAGGGTAACGTAACTTCGGAAGACTGTATTGGGACATCCAGCACAGCCAGTCCACAGCTCATCTAAGGCCCCGCTTCTACCCAGAAAGAGGAGCTGCTTCTCAAATTCCTACTGGCTTTGATCCCCTCAGTACACCAATGCTTACAGCTCCAGAATGGAGACGTTTGCAGGGACAACCTGCCAGCCAGCGGCATTCGAACCACACCGCTCTAGCCAAGAACAGCCTCGAAGGCTTTCGTACGAGGCATGAGCCAAATTAGCTCCTTCTGTGAACACGTACAGTCATCTTGGAGATCATTATGGGAGACTCCTATTACATCAAATAGCCAAGCAACATCTAGCTGACACGGGTATTCACTCGGGCATCTGTTCCGTCCTGCTCCAGTGACTAAGACGGTTCCTGTTGAGGGTCAGCAGCAGAGCGCTCTCGCTGCAGCAGCACACGGGGACTCAGCCTCAGCGCACCAGCTCTTACATTAGCACACCCTCAAGTGGAAAAAAGGTAACAGCAAGATTTCTCTTCTCGATGCAACCCGCTCACCGAGGAAGTGACAGGAGTGGATGATC